TTATTTTTGTTTTTGTTTTTTGTTACAGCAAAGCTATCATTTGGTTCGGTCTGTAGATAAGTGATATATGGATATCCAGCACATACGTTGTTCATAGCAAAACATCTTTTTTTGTGTGTATGTTTGTTTCGGTCTGTGCCTCGCTGGATAAAGTTCCTGCTACACATCCTGATTTGGTCCTTGGATAAGCCTACAAGTCTTCCTTGGGCGGAGGGAAGCCAAGGGCGTAGGATAAAGGGGGGGGGGGGATTTCGATGGGGGGAGAAGGCAGAGAGGAAAGAAAAATCGTATTGTATGGAGGGGAATGGGGAATGGGGAGGCGTGGCGGGGGTAGGGGTGGATGTGGAGGAGGAGGGGGAGGAAAGGGGGAGTGGGAGGAGGAGGAGGAGGAGGAGGAGGAGGAGGAGAAGGAGGAGGAGGAGGAGGAGGAAAGGGAAAGGGAAAGGGAAAGGGAAAGGGAAAGGAAAGGTAAAAGGAAAAGGAGGAGGAGGAGGATGTTGATGTTAATCATGATGGTGGAGATGATGATAATGTTGATGATAATGATAACAGTGGTGATGGTGATAGTGGTGATGATGATGATGATGATGATGTAGTGGCGGATAAAATGAAAAGAAAAATAATCCTTACTTTTCCAATAGAAAAGAAAAATCAATCTTACCCCCCACATCAGGCACCCACAAAACAAGTTCATCAGACACACAGAGCAGCCATATATTACACGCAACAACATCCCGTGTTTCGAGACAAAGCAATGACAGCCTTCCCAGTGCAATGCCGTCGGCTGCTGCTAAATTACTTTTTCCGAGAACTGACCGCGGACTGTGCTCGGGTGCCACACGTGCCTCGTCCTTTTCTCACGACCCGCGGTGGCACTGTTACGTCACTAGAAAGTGAGTCGTCCGGAGGATATGAAGAAAGGGTGGAAGGAGAGAGAAAAGGAAACGATGCAGGGAGAGTGGAAGAGTGAGTGGGGAGGGAATGGAGGGAGAGGGAGAGAGAGGGGGGGGAAGAGAGAGAGAGAGAGAGAGAGAGAGAGAGAGAGAGAGAGAGAGAGAGAGAGAGAGAGAGAGAGAGAGAGAGAGAGAGAGAGAGAGAGAGAGAGAGAGAGAGACGGAACAATAGGTGTTGGAAGGACTATCTAAGAATACAAGAAGCCAGACAGGCTGTCAGCAAAGGACCTGCTGATTGGAAAGTGAAGGCCTCGCACAGGGAGAAAATAACGCCTTGGGGGAAGTGGCTTTGTGGTTCCATATCTGATTCTTTGCACATGTCCCAACCTCTGTGGCGATTGTCACTGCTAAGAAAACAATAACACTGACACTGACTGGTTTGAAGAATATGGCATTGATTTTTAAAATATATATTAAAAAAACGATACATTGTCAAAATAGATAAATGAATGACGAAACTAAAGACCGGTTTGTACATCACTCGCCGTTTCGCGTAGCAACCAAGGCACAATATAACTCTTAATCAAAACGACAAATAGATAAATCGAGAACAGCACCACGCCACCATAAACCCCAACACACCCGACCGCCGCCCCCTTCTCGCATGACACCATGACTTTACTTACTGTGAATCCCACATGCAGCTCGTGGACCGTCTGCGATCGGGCGGTCTCATGAGGAGAGACAGCTTCGGGAGTTTGCGCTCGCTGGTCATGATCTCTGGTAAACCGCCTTCCTGGGGTCTTTCACTCAATACCATACTTGTTTGTGTCTGTTGCCCGCTTTTGGGGCTTCGAAAGGACTAGCTCCCCCTTCGGAAGAACTGTTCACGGGGTGACTTGGGGCGTCTTGACGGCGTCTCAAGGTGCTTGGAGTCACTACAGCTGATCTCTGACCGTCGTTGCTTACTTCCGAGCAATCACAGTTATCGTTGATTCTTAAATAATAACTACAATCGAAAACTGCCTAATCGAAATTGTTATCACATTAATAGCTGCTAATAGCTTAGATAAACTGCCACTGTAAACCGTAAGTAGAGAAGCTGCACCACCGATTCTAAGGCGGTCCTCTCGTGACCAGCTGTGCTTCACGTCTGAGGTCTGAGGGCAAAGGCAGCTGGGTTTGGTCTTGGCCTCAGTTAAATCCCTAATCGGCAACTCGGCCTTTTGTTACCAATGGGACGGCGGAGAGAATATATTTAATGCCAGAAGACGTTGGGTATGTATTGAGTTCCCTCGTGGCCGCAGTTGAGGCAGGGGAAGTTGCGTCAGGGTTTTGCAACACTTTCGAGAGTTATGACAGTCTATTCTACCTTTTTATTTGTTAAAGGAAATGGAATTCATGCTCTATCAAGAATTGGTAACACTGTCCGTATTGTATACACGCTTCAGTTGACAGCTAGGATATACATTAATTTCATATTGTACCTTAAACACCACTTGAAAAGAACAGATAAACATCCCTAAACAGTGAAAAAAACAACCAATCAGACCAGGGTTTTCAGGCAAGAAGTAGTCTGACAGGAAGCTTTTTCCTTTCTTTTTTTTTTTTCTTAATAAACTCCGTTAATCATCCAGGAAATTCAACGATCGGCAACTATAGCGTCATATTATGTAACTCTTTATCAAGGAATTGTTCGGACTTCTTCACTATCCATACTGAATTGTGTGTATAACTATTTATAATGTACTTAGATTTACTCTCTGTAAAATCAAAATAGTACTTACGAAAATATGGGAATCACAGTAAAGCCACATCAATATGAATTACAAATATCAAAATCAAGTTGAAAAAAAAAAGAAAAAACGAAACAAAATGACTAATAATAACGGGAACGTGTATGTAACTACACGTGTATTTCTATCACGTAAATCAATCATATCTTTCCGTATCATGCGGAGGTAATATAACTCAGAAATGTTATTGCTTCATTTCTTCTAATTCACGAGAAAATCACACAATAAATTCATGCATGGTTATTGACTCAAGTTGCACAGGTGATGCAGTCCAGCTATCAACGCACTCTCTCGCTATTGCTCCATCTCGATATGTGTGTATTTTATCTATTTGTCTGTCTGTCTACATTTATCTCTTTCTGTTTATCTGTACCGGTTTTCCTCTCTCTCTCTACCCCCCCCCCCCCCCCCCTCTCTCTCTCTCTCTCTCTCTCTCTCTCTCTCTCTCTCTCTCTCTCTCTCTCTCTCTCTCTCTCTCTCTCTCTCTCTCTCTATCTATCTATCTATCTATCTATCTATCTATCTGTCTCTCTCTCTCTCTCTCTCTCTCTCTCTCTCTCTCTCTCTCTCTCTCTCTCTCTCTCTCTCTCTCTCTCTCTCTCTCTCTCTCTCTTTCTCTCTCTCTCTCTCTATCCATCTATCTATCTATCTATACCCCCCTCTCTCTCTCTATCTCTCTCTCTCTCTCTCTCTCTCTCTCTCTCTCTCTCTCTCTCTCTCTCTCTCTCTCTCTCTCTCTCTCTCTCTCTCTCTCTCTCACTCTCTCTCTCCCTCCCTCCCTCCCACCCGATGTCCCTCCCTCCCTCCCTCCCTCCTTCACTCCCTCTCCCCCCTACCCGATGTCCCCCACTACTCCCCTTTCCTACTTTGCCATTTCCTCCCCCCACCCAACCCCATCAACTTATTCTTCCTTTCTCATTAATATTCGCTCGCTCTTCATGCAACATCCTCCGACTGCAACAGCACAGTGTGTTGCTATTTTTTTTTTTCCTGTGTTGTTCCCTCTGATACGTTTAAACCGATGAGTGGTTCTTGCCGACTCACCCCTCCCCCCCCCCCATCACCTACCCACCCACCCCCCGACATGCAAACACGAAAAACTGTATAATGATGATAATGATGATGATAGTGATGATGATGATGATGGTAATGATAGTATTGATGATGGTGGTAATGATGATGGTAGTGATGGTGATAGTAGGGCTGATGATAATGGTGATAATGGTGGTGGTGATGATAATGGTGATGATGCTGGTGATGATGATATATAAATAATAATAACTAATAGTAATAATGATAATATAATAATGATAAAAATAATAATAATATCAATAATGATAATAGTAATGATAATGATAATAATAATAATAGTAGTAATCATTATCATTATCATGTGATAATAATATAGATAATTTTTACAATAATAATGATAGCAATGATAATAATAATAATAATAATGACAATAATAATAATAATAACTAATAATAATAATAATAATAATAATAATAATGATAATAATAATAATAATAATAGTAATAATGATAATAATAATAATAATAATAATAATAATAATAATAATAATAATAACATTGATAATAATAATAATAATAACTATAACAATAATAATAATAATAATAATGAGGATAGTAATGATAATAATAACAATAATAATAATAAAAATAACAGTAATAATAATAATGATAAAAATTATCCTTTCTATCATTATTATTATTATTATTATTATTATTATCGTAATAAAAATAATAATAATAACAGTAAGGGTCATAATGTCACTCGAAGAACAAAGAGGAACAATTTCCTGCAATTTTTTTTTTTTTTTTTTATTTCAATTAATTTGTATGTTAATTCATGGCCATTCTCGGTTCTTTTTGCCTGGAGCGGATGTGATACAGGTTTTATGCTTTATATGCGCGTGTGTGTGTGTGTGTGTGTGTGTGTGTGTGTGTGTGTGTGTGTGTGTGTGTGTGTGTGTGTGTGTGTGTGTGTGTGTGTGTGTGTGTGTGTGTGAGAGTGTGTATGTGTCTGTGTGTGTGTGTGTTTGTGACATCCTCATCTTTATCATACTATACACTTCGTGCAACACAGTTGTACAGCATTATTATGACACCCTGTCTTTTATCGTCTGTCTTCGTAGTTCCTATCTGTTATGTGATGGTTCATTTTATTGTCTGTCAGGATCTTTTTTAAGTGTTTGTATGCGCACGAGGTCCTTAATCCTTTTCTATTTCCCTAAGTTCGTTTCGAATGCTACTTGACTGTTACAGATATCTACCCAAAAAATGACACTTAC